TCGTATTTACATTGAACCTTATGGGAAAATTTGGTTTGGGTCGCGACCAATTCGGGTCGCGACCAGAGTCACGGAACAAATTAAGTTCATGAACCGAGGTACCACTGTTGCATTCGTTGTATGGTATAGAGAACTGAATTCTATGACTAGGTTTGTGGCTTATTTGACAAACCATGATTTAAACAAGCCATGGCATAGTGATATGTGTGAACATTTCATACTTCAGGTTTGCCAAATTATTTTCTTAAGTACACTTACCACATTGCAAAAAAGGTGTACCACTAATAGTATAAATATCTGTGAGCGGTATCAATTAATTCTGTATGTTATTGGGAAAAGTCTACGTACTTCCCATCAACCCTCTAGATAAATGCAGCAAAATGCACTTCCATACATCTTAACTATAAAAGTGCAAAAAAAGATAAACAGGAGACTTGTGTATTTGCCATTACCTCTTTTATTTAATAAACTGCTTTTTGGCTTCAGTCCCCCTTATTATTAAATGTCGTGATAAAAGGATTATCTACTGATGTAGAGGGCACTGGTAGCTTTGTTGTCTCAGACAGAAAGCTGCTTAAGTGAGGCAGTTCCCTTGGAACAGGCAAGTGCGGTTAAAAGGAATCTGAGTTTGGTCAGGTCTTGGGAGCTAGGTGAGATATAAATATTTATAATACACAAACACTTGTTCTTGATTATACAGTAATTATATTGCTTTATATGTAAGAATCAAAATTCATGGTTGCTTAGGGAGACAGAGATTTTTATAAGTGATATACTCTTAGAATGTACGTCACCGTGCCAAAACAATTCTGTCATGCACAATAGTTTCATGGGCATCGTGGGGGAAGGGCAATAACAAAAGTGCATCACAATCACTCATGCCCTGGTCGCCTCCAGAGCAGATTACTGCAATGCACTCTACATGGGGCTGTCTACTTGAAGAGTATCCAAAAGCTTCAACTGGTGCAGAGAGTGGCTGTGCAGACAGTTATGTGTGCCCTTAGGATGGCACATGTCACACCTCTGCCATCTGTGAGCTGCATTGGCTGCCAGTTTGCTTCTGGGTACAATTCAAGGTGCTGGTTTTGACCTTTAAAACCCTACATGGCATGAGACCAGGCTATTTGAGGGACTGCCTCTTCCCGATCACATCTACCTATACCATTAGGTCCAGCAGGAGGGTATCTTGTGGGTCCCGTCTGCTAAAGTGTTTCATCTGACAGGACCCAGACAACATGCCTTTTCTGCTGTGGAACTCCCACCCTCTGGAACATCAACCCCCCAAGGTGAAGTTAGCCCCATCCCTCTTAGGCATCTGGAAGGCCCTGAAAATGTGGTTCTTCCAGCAATCCTGGGAATCCCATGGGGAGCCTGCACGATGTCTGTACTGTGTTTAGATGGATATTCTTCCCCCGCACTCTTGCTTTTTTCTTTTTTTAAGTGTTTTAATAGTTGTGGCATTATTTTAATTGTTGGTTGTACATTGCCCAGAGTCACATTCAGTGAGATGGGCAGCCATATAAATTTGTTAAAATAAATAAATAGTGCATTGTGACATCACACTACAAACCATGTGACTTATATATTTGTGCCCAATATCAGGAAGCAAGTTTGAAAAGCCAGGATTTGCACTGTGACATCATGATGGACTGTTTGTCAGTTCTGCATCATCATAGCTTGTACTGGATTCCTATGAATAGTTTTAGAAGTGAGATGAACTATTAATTTTATTGCATTTTGACTGGGTGAAAATGAGAATCCTTAATATGCATTTCTCAAATTTTATTTATGACTTTTAATGCAGTTGGCCCATCATACTTTTAATCTTTCTACAGGCTTAATACCTGCAGAAGTCTTAAGTCAATGGTTAGTGAGAAAGAGGAGCTCAAAATAGTATGCATAGCCCAGGAAAGATATTTGAATTTTATTGTGAGAGTTAAATCTCACATACTTTAGAGGAAAACAATCTGATATCAGATCTATCTATTATCAAAACAAAAGACAGGTGGAAATTGGACCTCCTGCCCCTCGAATGCCGTAGCCCATTAAAAAGGATAAACAATATAAAGTGATAGAAAAGGTTTGAATATTTATTCTCTAAATGGCCCTTGTACTTGAAATGCTGCAATCACACAAATTATTTCACGATAGCTTTTTGTCTTCAATAAAACTACTTATCAAAAGTCCTCACATTGTTATGAAATTGTCAAGTTGTTTCCAGTCCCGCTTGTTCATTGAAACCTGATATTTAATTTACAGTATTAAGTAGAAATTATAATCCAAAATTTTAGCTGTGGGCTGGAACTAAAAATTTAATAGCTTGTTCATGCATTTATTTCTGCTACCTTTTGTTTAATTGCTCCTATTTTATTTCATCTACATGAAAGCTAGTGGAACATTATTCCTACAAAGCAGATGGACTTCTAAGAATAATCACAGACCCAGTTCCAGATCCAGATTTTCAGTCAAGAAATAGTAAGTGGCTTATATTTTTAAAATGTGGAAATTGAATCCATACACTGTGTGCATTAATAATATCTGATTCTGTCAAGATGGATCAAATTCCTAGTAATGAAATTAAAAGTACCTAGCAATGGCATTACAGGCATAATTAACTTAATTTCTCTGAAAGGTGGGTGCTTAAAACAAGATATGAGTATCTGTTGCATCAGTTGAAGAGACATAATTTTCTCTCAGTTTGGAATAGTGAGTTATGATGTAGCGTGTGTGTTGCAGGGGAGACTTTTATGTACCTATATGTGATCGATTCTATATCCAAAATGAAACTGGATCAGATATCAGTTGCATCTACTTGTAAATGAGAACTGTGCAAACATTTGAAATAATCCTTTGCATAGCACATTGACACAAATGAAACATAACTCCCATATATATTGATGTTAATGTGGCCTCTAGATAACTTGGCTGCTTTCAGGTTCTAGGAACATGTCACTAAGATCAAACTTCCACTGGGAGTGCTGATAAAGCAAAGGATCCATGCCTTCACAAGCATGCAAAACCAACTTTTTCTTGACTTATAATAAGCTGGTGTTATTTTATACATCAGGAAAACCTGACCTGGGAAGATCTCTATCCTTCATCTGGGGCCAATTTTAGGAAAAGTTACTAAATTTTGCTCCCAATTTGATCATTTGCTGATGATGAGCTAGTAATGAGCTAGTAGTAGTAATTTTCAGCCTGTTGAAAAACCTTCCAATAGAGTGCCAAAGTACAGGATTCCTCTTGAGCAACAGACAAAAGTTTATCTATAACCTTTTCTACTCCAGAGAAGTCTGTTCCAGGACCAATTCATATGTGCTCATTTGTCTACAGTCTCATTTTTTTAAAATGGGAACTGGATTTATCTTTGATGGAGATAAAGTTTCCACCTGTCTTTTCTCCTTGACACTGGTCTGAATAAAAGTCACAACTGATATTTTTATAGTAATTGATATATCTTTTTACCTTAGGTACATTTGATTTTGCCCAAACGCCAGCGCTTCCTAAGTCTCGCAGCACCAAGGTAAGAAAATGTATTGGTGAAAACCAGTAATGTTTTAAATAATATAAAGTCTGGCAATATTTAAGTGTTTCACTTTGGAATGGTTTACATATTTATTCTTGCTGAATAATCAATTAAAATAAGTTTCATAAACAGGTTGCAAGTTACATTTTATGTATTTTCATTCGATAGGACTGTGTTTTGCTCTCCCTTTAAATGCTATAAAAATTAATTTATTAATAGGCAACTATAGCACTAGTGATTAGTGAATATTTTATCTACCATATATAGAGTTTTATATGATATAGATAAAATGGAGTGCATTAGCTATCATAATATTTCACATTTTGAAAGACCAATTCTTTATTCAGAATAACTAGTGAAAGTAAGTAGTTTGGGATATATTTGTTTGCTCTGTAATCCCTGCACATATAGGATTTGAATGCATTAGAAGCAGAAGATATAACAGGAGAACAAGATGAAAGAAGATAATGGGAACTATATTTAAAAGGAATAGGTGACAATGTTACAGAGATTCATGTAAGATAGTTGAAGAAGCAGAGAAAATAATAAGCACGATCCAATAAGGCTTTTAGTCTCAAGCATTGAACACTATTGGAAATTCATGTCCTGGTTTGTAAGACTGGATTTTATCCTTTCCATTCACATTAGTGCTAGAACAAACATGTAAGTGACTTAAACTTTAAAAGTGATTATTTTAAGCTTGTTTGTGCACTGGTTCAAATAACTCTACCTCTTCTTATCTTAGACCCAATCTATTAATTGTGCTAAGTCGTAATGTGACTGGTTGGTAAATCTGATCATTATGCCTTATAAATTATGGTTTATGGCTACATGAATCCAATTAATTATGATTAATTTGCAAACATGTTTAAACAAACTGGGCCTTACTGGTATATATAAAATTTGTCTATAGATGGCTGTTTGAGATAGATCTGTGAAGCTTCAGGAATATATGATATATTATAAATGCCTCATGGAACCATCTCCAAGATATTTGGGTTCAAAGCGACTATTTACATGTCCATTCCATAGGTGAACTAGGCCAAAGTGATAAAACGTTTTCTTAATTGTGCACGAGGATGGTACATGTTATAAAAAAATTAAATTCCATTTCCAATATTCCAGTATACATGAAAGTAATTGAACCATTGAAAAAGAATAAACAAATTTGAGGTTTTCCTACCCAATAGAACTTTTAGACCTTCCCATATAATTGCTAAAGATAAAGCCATAAAGGTATATTTCCCAGTTATGACCTTTAAAACAAGCAACATAACAAGCTGATTATAAAGCCAAAAGTTCTAATTAAAAATGCAACCACTGTCATGAAACCCAGAATTAGTTCTACTTATAATAGACCCATTGTAATCAATAAGTCTGCAGATGAATAATTCAAGACCTATTGATTTTAGTGGATCTCTTTTGAAATAAGGCAAAGTCTGAATTCAGCCAGAGTTTTGATGGAAGCAAACATCCATTTAACTTTAAAAACCAGAGATTGCAATGTACTGCACAAAATATGCTATACTTAGAACAGACCTATTGTAAAAGACTGAAAAAAATAGGTATGGGGTTTTTTTTTTTCATATTTTCTTCATACATTTATTTATCCTTTTGATATCCTTTATGGTTTCTAGACTTGGTCAACAGGTGGAATTATCACCAGAATCAAATCATACACTTTCCCAAAGCCGGGAAGCAAAAAGGTGCAATTAAACACAGTTTTGTTAATTTTTAAGTGTGTGGAAGGACTTATCTTCACTTTGCTAACTTACAAATCTTTTTCATAGTTTACTCTGTCTCTTACCACTAATCCTCTGTGCACATCTGGCAACTTTCTTCAGCTTTTACTTCTTAATTTATAGAATTAATCCATGGCTATTATATTCTTGGGCTTGCATATTACTTGTTTTGAAATACAGCAATTACATTTGTTTTACTAATCATAATTAAGTTGGTTAGAAAGAAGATAAATAACTATGTTAGAAACAGGTCCAATTTCTAAAACACCAGGCCGCCCAACCTTACTGGCCTCCCATTGTGATTCATTGTCCTCCTATAAGAAGTTTAGGTTGCTTGGAGTGAGTGTGCAGGCTCAGTGCAGGGCCTAGTAGGCCCTTCCAACACACACACACACCCCCACAAAGAAGCCCTAGAAGAGAGCAAAGAGAAGATTAGATAAGAGCACCTTGATCTTGGCTGGGTTGCTTGGGTGGCCCTCAGGAGCAGATAGAGACGGTTGCAGGAAAGGCCGTTGAAGAAGTGCTCAGTGCTAAACTAGCAATTGGCGCAGGCCGCCCCCATCCAGGTGCAGCAGCAAGTGCAACTTCCCTCACAGTCACCAGGAGGTCTTGATCCAGAGGTTATGAGCCCCTTGCCTTCATAATTCAAAGCAACAGACTAATTTCTACTACTTACCTCTCAAACTATAATAACTGTACTGGTGATACTGAGTGTTTTTGATTGCCACCTTTTAATCATTTTCAGAGTCTTCCAGCTGCTTAGCCCTATGCAAATTCCTATATGATATACAGTAAAGAAAATAGTTCATGGGCTTCGCTGTGCTATGAAGATTCTTCTAATAGAAAAGTATTAGAACAATTTTGTTAGAATGGTAACTAAGTTGACAAGTCTGAAACAAATATGAATATTGTATTTATTAACACAGACTATTTAGAGAAATGACTTTATCTTCCTTTTACGTGTTTTACATAAAAATCTGTAAAGGAGAGGCCTAATTTACAAAACAGATTTACAGATGCTTGTTTCTTTTCCCATCGCATGGGTCATGCTCACCTCTTCATAACTAAATAGGGGAAAAATAATTTAGTTTGCTTCTCTTCTTCACACTGATAAAGTCTCATACAACAAGATTTCATATTTAAAAGTAATTCTCAGATAAATTAATTTAGTCCTGTCAGTTGCAACACTCTCAGTTCCTTATTGCTAAAGAGAGCAATCGGGTGCTTTGGAGAAGACAGGAAGACTAAGTGGTCAGTGATCTCTCCTATCTCTATTTTCTTTGCTTCATTCAAAGTAGGGCTGTTACGTTTTCCTAGTAGAAACAGGTACTTACATACTGTATATATTGCGAAATTTATAGGCATCTATTAATTACTATAGATTCCCTTTAAAAGTTACAGTACCAGTAACAGTTTGTCTTTCTGTGGCATACATAACAAATAAAAACCATTTATAAATGATTTAGTAGCAGCAGGTTTTATGTTCAAAGCATGTGTTACTGACTGCCTTTTTTCCCATGAAAAGTTATGCCCCGAATTCAGGATTCCGAATTACCATCCTAAAGGCAGCTCTAAAGATATGTTACTTTATAAATTTTTATGAAGTAATACATTTTATTTATAAACAAACATGTTTAGGTTATTAGTTGTCTTATTTGAACAAAGTTACTCAGATTGTTTTGTTAGCAACCAAACTCTCCTTGTAGCTTAGCTTTTTTAAATCAAATTTATCTCAAACACTAGTAATTGAATAAGTTAGCAAGATGCTTTTGTTGCTTTAATATAGAGCAATCCAGTTCCCACAAAGTATTTTATTCTGTATGTATATAAATGTATTTCTGATTCAAACACACATTGACCTGAAAAAAAAAAGAAAGAAAGAAATACAGAATAATTTTATGGCCACCATAATTATGTATCTGTTACATCACTTGTTTATCCTGGTGCATGTGTGTTCATCAGTTTTCTGTTATTCCAAGCAAGCTAAATGTGTTAATAAGCTTTCCATTTTTATTTGCATGTATTAAAAGAAGCATAGGTCAATGGTTGAGAAAAGCAATAGGAGATATTTAGAGATAGGTTCATCCTACTGACTAATTTGGCCAGTATTATCCATGTTAGTTTCAAATAATGCTAGACCAGTGGATTACATTTATTTTCCAAATTACTGTTTCAAAGTCCATGCACTTTTGAAGAATGGTTTATACAATGAGAAGTAGCAGTGAAAATATAAAATGTATTAGAAGAAAAACACTGAGTAGTTCTTGTTTCAATGGATGCAATATTCTAAAATAAGATCTACACTTGTGTAATTGAAATACAAAACCGTTATTTAATTCCTCCTTTAAGAAATTATTTAAAATATTTGCAGAAAACTTTATGCTTTTGTGTCATAAAATATATGCAGCAAATAACTTACCTAAGATTTCGATAAGCTTTGCTCCCTTTCTTATTCATTAACTCTGCTTGCACTTTTTGTTTTGTTTCGTTTTTTCCTTAATGTTTGTCATCTAATTTTCTTTTTAACTTTGTCCCTCACCTTGCCACCAAATGCACTAAAATAAAAATCTGTTTGTGTCATAGCTATCTTTCCCTGTTCCTGACCGGAAAGATGATTCTGCACTACTTGCAATGTTTAACAATTATGTTCCTTCGTGGGCAAAGCGAGGTATGTAATGACATTGTTTCATTTCTGGTAATATGCGAAATATAGGCAGTTAAGAAAGTGTCCCTAGCTATTCACAAGTCAAAATGCTTATTTATTTCACTACAAACAAGTGAAATCACTTGTTCAGGTCTCACATGCCTTCACGCTATATGACTTTCTCCAGCTTTCAAAAAAAAATTGGCCTAAGATTTCAACACAATAATTTAGATACATTGGTGCTTTGTAGAACTGTGGACCAGACTTCTCCAACTCTTCTCTAACCTGGTGCCCTCGAAATATGCTGCACTTCAGTTTATTTATTTATCCAGTTTATATAGCCATCCATCTAATAAACTCTGGGCGGAAAACCAGATAAAAGCAAAGAATTCCATTAAACCCAAAAAACAAATAAAACTATATAGAAGCTGAGTAAAACCACAAAACCACTAGTCACGTACACTCATGCCAGAACTCTGATGCTGACATCCCAACCCCAATGCCTGGGGTAAAAACCAGGTCTTCATGGCATTCAGAAAGGACATGAAGTAGGGGCTATCATAGCCAGCACAGCTAGCCGATTGGACCATCTGTTTCTTACTGTTTGCTAACTGGTATAAAAGCTTCCTTACATTTTGTATCTAACATTTGTCTTCGCAGTAGAATTTAGTTGGGACTCTAGCCTCAATAAATGTTCCAAATAAATTTCAAACTAAAGTTCAAACTCAAATGTAATCTTCCCATAGTGATTTGAAAAGATGTGCCTCGTTTTGAACTAGTAGTTAATATTTTAAAATCAATAAAGACATTTTCAGATTCCAAAGGACTGTTGTAATAAAATAGGTTTTTCTGTTCATTTAACAGGTGATCAGAGGGAACCTTTGCCTATGGATACAGAAGTTTATGAAAGTCCATATGCAGACCCAGAAGAAGTTAAAGCTAAAAATGTCACCCTTGACCGAAACTTACTGACTTTGGAAGAAAAGGAACTTGGTTCCGGTAATTTTGGTACAGTAAAAAAAGGCACTTATGAAATGAAAAAGTAAGCTATTGTTCTCTATCTTTATTCTTTTAGTATCCTCTTTGCTGTTGGACTTTGATACTGCTATTAATTATTAGGAATTTTTTTTGTGTGAGACCTTTTATCCACCATAGAGTTAAAAATGAAGTAGGTTCAATCCAATGAATATTGTTCATTTGCTATAACATTCCAAACCATTTGGTAATTTAAAGTTAATATAGAGTTGCTTCCATAAAACAATAGTAGCAATAATTTAACCACTAAGTAAATTAACTCTCAGATCCTTGCATTGGATTGCAGTTGTATAACAAAAAGCTAGCATGTTAGTTTAAAACCAAGAACACTGGCGCTTTTATTCTCTCTGAGCTCAGTCAGAAGTCCCATTAAGTTCAATAATTGCTTACAGAATTTCAGCCTGAATCTTCCTTATCAATATGGATATCATTGTATCCTTAAAATGCAGTTTTGTGTATGCTTAGACAAAAATTCAAGTGATTTAGTCTAGAAAGAGTCTTTTGGATTATAGCCTAGCAATTTGTTAGAAGACTTTCATATCAGTATCGTTCTTTGAGTTTATTTGTTATAATTTGTTCATATGGAAAATTAGCATTCTTCCTTTGATTTTAATCTGGTGCCTTAGAAGTAGACTATATAATTATCAGACAATTTTTCTATATATCTTTGACTTTTCTATTAGGAAAAAAAAATAGTATGTGCAACACTTTTTTTTTTTTTTGGTAACAATACAATTTTTAATCTTAAAGAAAATTTTAAAAAATTAAAAGTACAAACTAAGGAGGAAAAGAAAAAAGAAAGAAAAAACGTATCTTATATTTTATACTTATCAGCAGTCACTGGTTTACCAATGAGCTCCCTGCTATAATATGAACAGTACAAGATATTATTGCAAGGTATCACAGAATCTCTGCCGTAGTAATGCATATTGCTGTATCCTTTAATTAGTAGAAAATTATCTGTTTTGCATTTTCCAAAACTGATCACACATTTCCAACAACCATTCCTTGACATCTGGAATAATGTAATTTTTCCAATTTCTTAATATAATTCTTTTTGCCCCCCCTCCCCCCGCTTGCTTGACACAACCACAATTCCTGATAAACAGTCAAATTCTAAAGCTTTCGTATATAATTCAACATTACATTAACATACAGTATTTAACATGTAAAGATGTTCCCATAAATTTATTAATATACATTAATACAGTATCCCAAAAAGATACTAAATGATCACATTACCATATTATATGGGTCAGTGGTCATGATATGGTCATTACCATATCATATGGGTAAATATGGGTCAAATACCATATCATATGGGTTAAAAATAACATTGGGCCAAGATTTTATCAGCCACCTGTTGGTGGAATGAAAAAAATACTGGAATATTATATCTGATGGGCTAGGTTGGATTGTTATTATCTATTTTCTTTGTAATCATGGCAAGTGCTTGAAACAACATATAGCAGAAAATATGTTTTATTTCCAGAAGTACAAGTGGTGAGAAATCTTTGAGCCATATTGGGACATAAACTGAGTTTTGATAATGAGACTCATGAATATCTAACTCTTTGGAAAAATTCTACTTTGAAAATTGGTGGTAAATCATTGAATTCGAAACCTTGGGCAGAAGCTGGGGTCATGATTTTACATCAGCTATGACGTAATGACTATTTTAAGGACTTTTCCTGACTTCAGATTGAATTTGGTCTTTCTAGTTCGCAATAGTGGAAGTATCTTCAGCTTAAGCATGCTCTAACAGATCAATATGGACCAGATGCTTTGGCTGCCTCAAAGACACCTGAGTTGCTTTTTTCCTTGATGGACTCCATTACAGAAATAAAACCTGTAACATACCTCTATAAAAAGCTCAAGAATATTTTGAAGTGGTCTAGGATATTTCAAATATGGACTAAAGAATTGGAATTTCTGATAAAGCCACCGCAGTGGTTTCAGGTCCTTAAAAATATTAAGATGGTATCTACAGATTTGAGATTAAGATTGATTCTGTTCAGAAAATGTTAGCAGAGCAAAGAAAGTGAATTACTGCTGGCCAGCAAAATTTATTTTAGGACAGCAGTAGGCCACGTCAGCCCATATGTGAATCCCCAGCACCCCATTTCCAACCATCAGAGCCTACCCTTCTCTGGAACGTAACATAATTAAGTTTTCTGGAATTCCTGTTACAGAGGAAAGAAAACTGTGGCTGTGAAAATTCTCAAAAATGAAAGTAATGATCCAGCTATAAAAGATGAACTCCTAAGAGAAGCAAATGTAATGCAACAACTTGATAACCCATATATTGTCAGAATGATTGGTATATGTGAAGCTGAATCTTGGATGTTGGTAATGGAAATGGCTGAGCTTGGCCCCTTGAATAAATATCTGCTAAAACATGGGTAAGTTGACAGCTTGTTGCAAGTTTTGACCAGTAATAAATAAAATTGATGGAATCTAAATTGATCATAAAAATGTCCTCAGCTCATTGGAAAGTGCAGGTTATATGAAAATAATAGCTTTTGTAATATCCAAGGAATTGCTGATACTGGTGTTTCTTTGGATACTTCAAAAGCAAATATTTTCATAATAGTGACATTTTCAAAATTATTAATAAATGAACATTTTCTAAAGCTTGCTTTACTTTGAAGGCATACCTACAACTTTTTGACATACTACTGAATTTCAATAAAAGTGAATTTTATTGAATGCAAATATATATGACTAGGCTGTACTTGTCATATTCTGACTCGCCATCCCTGCTTACCTGAATCCATAGTATTTGACTACCATATTGCTGGATTTAGTATTTCACAAGTACATTTCCAGAGCACGGAATTCACTGTATTATAGAAAAGTCACAAATATAAATGAGTCTGTTTAGGCAGGTCTTTGTATTGGTTTCTGTAAGTTTGCTTCTCAACAGGTCTGCTTTGCAGAAAATCTCTACTTAATGGTTGGGATTAGCTTGTAAAACTCTTTATTATCCTAAGTCAAGCCTTTCAGGGGCACATTCCAAAAGGTTGTTAGGATCAGGACAAAGAAATCAGCAAAGACAAGAAAATATTTATTTTAATTTAGACTAATTTAAAAGATTAATTCAACTAATATGTTTATTCCCTGTGTATTTAATAATGATCACTTTCTGTAACATTATAATTATGTCACATTAAAATTTACAATTCAGTGACAGTTTCTGAAGGGCTCTAAGGCTGTACAAGACTTGGAGGAAAGTATCTACCCCTGTTCTAGATTACTTGGAGGCTACATGGATATAATTAAAATTTAGCAATATTGTATGAAAAAGAATGAATGCATAAGGAATGTGTTCTCTAAGCAATTAAGTTGGAATATTTATTGGATGTATCATTGTTCTCTGCTCTCTACTGGGTGGGACTGGGGAATGAAGACTGTTAAAAAAAACAACAAGGTTTCTAAAAGTCAAGTTTGATTTTGTAGAGATGTCACAGAAAAGAATCTAATAGAGCTGGTTCATCAAGTTTCCATGGGAATGAAATATTTGGAAGAAAATAATTTTGTGCACAGAGATTTAGCTGCAAGAAATGTGCTTCTGGTTACACAACATTATGCCAAAATCAGTGACTTTGGACTTTCAAAAGCTCTTGGCTCTAATGATTATTACAAGGTAATGTTTCACTCTTTAACATGTTTTAAGATTTTATTACCAAATGTCACTGTGTGATGTCACTATGATTCAGCTTCTGTTCAACATTATGACTTGTACAAATTCATTTGGGAGAAAAGAAATTGAGCAGAACATTTATTCCTATAATTAAGCTTTTTGAATTACATTCTTGTAATTTATTTATTAAATGTATATGCCTTGTTCAATAAAACATTTTATCGGGACATCACAAAAGCCACTGCAAAGCACCCTTTACAATATATCAACTATAATGTAAATTAAGTGAGTCAAGGAGCTAGAATTCACATGAAGAATTCTAGTATTGTTTTCAACTAATGGCATGAATTTCTTTATAGTTAAGGGTGGGAATCTTCATGAGCCAGATGCTTCCTATGAAACCCACCTCATTCACTAATGGTCCTCATTCCAGAAATGTCAGAAAGTGAGTGATTCTTTTCACTTTTTGCATGTAGGGAGACATTCATGAATGACAAAGTGAAGACCAATAGGATCTGCCATCTGCTCACAGAGAAACATACAGTATTACTATAATATTTTTATTTGATGTGTACTTATATCTAGCAGCAGAATAAACAAACAATATAGTATATATGTAGTATAAAACACACGTGTGTGCATAAACATAAAGAAACACTATCTAACCCCAATACTACTATAATTTAAACCAATATTGAGTGCCACAGTTGGGGGAAAAAAGTATTTAAGGGCCTTTTCAAACTTCAGGAGAACAGACATGAAACATAGTTAGAGGGGAAATTGATTGCAAAGAGTAGGGCCATGAGTTATAAAAAAAACAAAAGTTATAGCCTTTGGGCAGAACTCCCCAGACATAAATGGAAGGTGAGTGAAGAGTGGGCACCTGTCCAGCAATCAAGTAACTTCTTGTCACTACCTTGGCCTCTTATTTACAGTAAGGGGGGGGGGAGGGAGCTGTCCCACTACTGTGCTCCTCAAATTAAGGCTGAACAACAGCTACCAAAATGGTGGCATACTATTAATGGTCATCAAATTCATCCAGCATTACATTTCCTCAGAATGAAGTTGGCTTTTTTTTTTCCTTTATGAAGCTGAGTTTTGGAGTCTTTCTTCATCATACAATCTCAATTTTTTTTCAATATAAATTCTGAAGAACCATTTTGGGAGTCCCCAAAGGTACCACCATATCCTTCCTCTGTGCAGAGAATGGCATCCAACGTATTAAAACAAGCATCATGGTCAGACCTTTTAGTATGTGAGCACTGTAAATTTCCTTTCAGTTTCCTGATTACCTAAATTTCACCTATTAGAGCAAATGAAATATATTCCAACAACATATCCTTACTGGTTCAGAACACTAAGGGACCTCATCTACACTTGTGGACTCAGCATATTTTTGTTTCTCAGAACAATTTGATAGCTCCATGGACTTTTAAGAACAGGAAATTTGATATCTTATGCTGGTCTTTGGCCATAATAAAGATTTGGTTGGTTGGTTGGTTGGTTGGTTGGTTGGTTGGTCGGTTGGTATCTCTGCACAAGTTGATTTAAGTTTAGTGGTTATCAACAAAGTTGCCTCTTGATATGCAATGCTAAAAACTAAAATCAAATACAAGCAATATCTGAAATGTATTATTCAACTTGTGTAACAGCCCAACTCACAACTGGGGGGGGCTTCCCTCCACTCAACTTTAGTAAGATTAGGGATGCAACAGACAGGAGGGGGTATATGTGATGGCCATTACCTAAAAATTTCACACTCCCAATGAATCTACCCATTCAAGGAAACACTTTAAAGGATATTCCTACTGTCTGCTATATCGCCCAACTTCCTCAGCTGCCCATTCCACATAAGAACCTTTTTAGAACCTCCTCTAAAAAGGAAAGTATTCTGACCAGATTCCCATAAGATTGAATTTTTGCTGAATGCAGAGATGTGGAGATTGGCAAATTTTGCTTTAACAGCAACTGAACATTATAAAAATTTCCTCTATAGTGCCATTAAATGAAGATGATTTTGTTTTTATAACAATTTTGTTAATGACTATTAACCTGATTTTATATAATTTATTTTTTTCTTAATTAAATTTTGCTGTTTTAATGCACACTTAATAAAATGTATTTTATGTTAAAACCTCTGGGTTGCAACAATAAATTATAATTCATTGAACAATTGAAATGGAACATGTTTTTCTGATTCTTTTATAAGTTGTGGTTAATAGATATTATACACCAATGTATTATTTTGTTTTCTTTAATTTTGGGTGTCATTACAGGCAGAACATCATGGCAAATGGCCAGTTAAATGGTATGCTCCAGAATGCATGAACTTCTTCAAATTTTCTAGCAAGAGTGATGTTTGGAGTTTTGGTGTGTTAATGTGGGAGACATTTTCCTATGGGCAAAAGCCATATAAGGTAAATAAACTTTATTTGCCATCATTAAACTTTCCTTTCTTAACTCCAAATCATAGATTTAAAAATAAACCAACATGGAGATACTATACAAATGTCCATTACAGCACTTTTTTGAGAGAAAAGTATTTCAGAAATGGTGATATTCTTATTTCAGTTAGAGCCCAAATTGTATTGGTTTTCTGTGTCACTTCATTGCAGGGTATGAAAGGAAGTGAGGTTGCTCAGATGATTGAAAGAGGAGAACGAATGGAATGTCCACTGGGCTGCCCATCTGAAATCTATGGATTAATGAAATTGTGTTGGACGTATGCGTGAGTATACTCATATCAGTTGTATTTTGCTGTTATTTACTGGATTGACTGCTTCGTTTTTTACATTCCACTTTTTGTTGTTGTTTAATTATGTTAAATTATGGTGAAAAGATCAATAACCATGCTTTAATTGTTCATGTGTTGCAATTAAGATTAACCATAATCCATCCAGATTTAAACAACATATCAAGCTTCTGTTAATCTAAAACAGCTAATGCTTCAGAATTACTCCTCACTGTTGAATTGGATGAAGAATATTTTGAAGCTTATCAGGCTCACTTATCATAGTGAAGCGTTGCATCTAAACCAGCATATAGGGACATTCTTCATCACCTCGGTATGGAATCCTTCAGTGAATGAGAAGTGTATCCTATATTATTGCAGTAGAAAGCTTAGACGTCTTTTTCTCATAGATATATAAGAAAAATAGCAGCTAAACTTTTATTCCCATTAGCTCCTGGAGCAAAGATTATTTAATTATAGTTCTCAAGGAGGAGGGAGCACATTTGGAATTGTAAATGCATGTCCTGGGTGTACTCACAAAGTATCATGGGGTTTTTCAATTCAGAAAATGACCACAAGGGCATGCCCATTTATCATAAAGCAAAATGGCAAGATAACCCCCAGACACTCTGCCTAGCCTCCAGGATGTTTTCTATTATTCTAGTTTTCTTTTATCATTTTTCTGGGCAGGTGGCTATACCCCATTTTTACATGTGTCACAGTGTAAAAACCATGCTTTGATCTCTTGGTTGTGACCACCATCCTGACTTTTTTGACCCATAACCTGGTTTCAACCTTCTCCCTGCAGACACCCCTGGTTAGGACCTATCTGATAGTATTGGTAAGTAAGAAGATGAAAGAAAAATATAGATCATGACTTTGCTAGATTTGTTATCCCTTCCAGTGCTTCCAAAATGTTATTTCACAATGCAGTATTTTGTCGGGTCCTTCTTGCTAATACTGCTGGGAAACTGCTATAAGGTATCTGATAAGGGTTGCTGTTACACAATAAGCTGTTCTGAAGCAAGAGAAGATGTTGGTAAATGATGTTGTTAAAGAGATAATATATTGACTGGGAATTGTCAGACAAATAACAAAAATATTTGCCTTTTTCCTTCCAGTATTGATGATCGGCCATCATTTTTTACTGTTGAATTAAAGCTACGCAACTTCTACTATGACATTGCTCAATAAAAATATTGTGGACTTACAGTGAAGACATCCCAGGAGGCAGATACAAAATTTTACTTTTTAAATAAGTTGCAGAAGTACCTAAATGCATTCCAGAAGAATGATTATGAAAAGACCATTATGGTAGAATTGCCTTGCTACTTTTAAAAGCTTGCTGATAACTAAAGTAATATTTTCAAAGTGAGCTACTTTGATGTTCAAGGGTTTGGCATTAGTTATACTTCCTTAGTCTATTAAAAAATGGATTTTGTTAGAGGTCTGAAACATTTTAGGTTGCTCCCTGAGACTTCTCTTGTTGTTGGAATGTACCACTTATTGTGATATCAAAAGAGCATTTGTATTTTCATCATTGTTGCTGTTAAGAGAATTTGATACTCTCACTTTAGAGCAGAGAGCAGAGATTAGTTTTAAATTAGAAATGAGTTGATAAAGTTAGAAATAATAGATCATAGCTTTAAAACATATGGTATATATGTGCAAAACCAGAGCTATATCTCCACTTCTGCCAGATGTTCCCCCTTGGTATTTATTATTTGGAAAAATATAAACATCTATAAACAAAATTGGCAAGCTATTTCATACAATCACAATAGATCCCTATTGTTATTTTAGTATATTTACTAAAGAATAAAAGTAAAAAAGTAAAAAAATATAGGTGAAGTAGCATCAGCACTTAACCTCAGTCTGTTGTATCAAATAATCAAAACAGTAATGGGCTCTGGGAACCTCATTTATTTAGGTTTATTCTGTATTAAAATCTTAATTTGTTAGATGCCATTGAGTCAGGTTTGTGTACTGGGGTACTGCTCAGTATCTCAATTTGTCTCCAACAATAACCCATAACTCTTCCAGTGACAATCATATAAAATTTTGTTTATCTTATCCATCTATTTTAACCATTGTCTACCCTTTCTTCTACTTCCCCAGTCTTGATAAGCAAAGTCATATTTTTTAATCTAGGATCAATTCACATTACATTTTCAAAGTTTGTGAATTTCAGCTTACTAATTATTTCTCAAAAGACAGCAAGCCTTTATTTGGCTCAGGAATGAATAATTATTTTGCACAGTATTCTTATTATCTTCAGATCCATAATTTGAAGTTGCTTCTCTCATTTTTTCTCACTGTCCATACATGTTATTGGAAAGACCATTACTTTAACTATTCTGATCATTATTGTCATCAAATATCCTCTTCCAAAATTCCTTCTCTGAAGGCTTTCCCCTACTTGCATCTAATACAAACATACTCTAGCAACTTCTTTATGTTGCTATGTTCCCATGATGTTGTCGTCTTCTTGTCCCCCAGCCCACTGATGAAACAGGCTTAAGTTGTCCTTATCCATTATTAAAGCAATGTTTTCACTCTGACAGTGGCAGGAACCCTTAGTCGTTCCAAAGTGTGTAAAATCTTATGTACTTCATGGACTATTCTGTCAACAGCACAGTCAGATGACTGCTAGAGGGTAAGATCAGCTTCAAGTTAGTGCAATCACACACCTTCCCCTCAGTTCCCAGGCATCTGTCACCATTCTTTTTTCTTAACCTCTGTCAGAAAGCGCTGTGCATAGCTGCTCCAGAGCTAGCAATTTCATCAAGAATTTAACAAGTTGTGAGGGGTCTCCAGGTGCAGGTTAGGGATCAGCAATGGGACAACACATTTTATGCCAGTATAGTTTTCTGCTGACTCAAACGTAGATAGCCACTTTAACTAAGCAGTAGGGAAGGATCCTCTTTGTCATTGCATTTATTCCTAGGATTAACGTCTTCTTTACTCCTCATTACTTCTACCTTACTTTATTCTTTTTTATATAACCTTGAACCCAAAAAGATAAAACTTACCTGCCATCTTCACTGTCAACTGTAAGCCTATAATACTAATTTGTAGTTGACTAGAAATCTTTCCATGGCTGATGACCAAGATGTTTTGATGATAAACATCTGCAAGCAACCAAGCATTTGTCAGCTCAGCCACGGAGAGACTGAGTGTTACTGAGCTGATTCATATAATAAAGAGTTTCTAATAATGTATCTACTGTGGAGAAGTACTTTTCTGTGTGCTTTTTGTATCTTCTGTAATATAGGGCTATCAGAAGAAGTACTTGAATGTTCATGCCTTAGCACTACTAAAGCATCTGAATTTAGGTTTCTTGATTATAATGTTTCTACTAAACAGCCTTCTTGCCTTTTTCTCAGAATAAGGTCAGGTATTCAGGCAGTAGGGCATATCCAACTCTGCATGTTTCCAGTTAGCTTAGCATCTGCCAGTGAAATATTCTCTCTTTCCAACATTCTATCCGAATATGCTTCAAAAGATTGCAAACACTTGTGAGTATCAGTTGGGTATTACGAGAGAACAAATGCAAATCCTGTTGCATGTGCTGCAGAATGTAAGTGTAACTTTAAATGTCTCCTATTATCTTATTTAGTTTGTAAATCTTACGTTTCTCTATTCTTTCTTACATCTATTTGATACCACAAAAAATCCACTAAAAAGGGAAAGATGGACTAGCACCACAGTGCCTTTGATTGATAATTTTAGCAACCATTTATTTGGAAGTATCATTATCGGCTGAGAATTCAAGGATTTCTGGAATTCTTGAGGTGAAGCATTCCCTAAACAATTCCTGATCAATTTTGCAACCTTCCACTGATTTTTATAGTGTATTTTCTGTATATTTTAATATTTCTTACTAGTTATTTTAATTGCATCCCTGAAGACTTGAAGTACATGCAGCCAAACATCCTATCATAAAGATTTAGGAGCAGATAGAAACTAAATTACATTATGGAAATGTATATTGTTTTAAATAACCAGACATAAAACATTTTGACTTGAATTTAATTTATTTTTATATCTCTTTAGGAACATAGAAAAGCATTCTATAATAATGGAATTGAATAGCTAATACTTAATTACTGTTTGTTAGTTTTATATACATTCACAAGATCCTATTTTATCTGTTTCTACAACAAATATATTTGTAATGAGGCAGATGAATTCAGGCCCACCTATGTATAATAAATATATCATCCTAGTAATGAGATTAATGGATCTGTTTAAAAATCCTGATGCATTTCATGAAAGAGAAGTTCATTTAGTACATGTATCTTAGATAAAGTTCTCCCATCTCTGATTAGACCACCATTGTCACAATCCATGATTTCTGATTTTTAAAAGTTGTAACTGTCAAAATTGAAGGTGAGAGATATCAATGTCTTTCTTAAACACCTTAAAAGATTATTTCTCTAGTTCTTAATAAAACGTTGGACATAAATGTGTGACTGACAAGGGTGATTGAAATTCTGAAAAGCTATATAGAGTTTATATAAAACCAGACTCATCTTTATTTAAGCTAGAAACCTATGCACCTTGAATGCCATGGAGCTTCCAAACAGATATTTACAAGGTTGCTCTGTAAATGTCTCTTCGGGCTTCTTTGTGGCCTGAAGGAAAGAAGAGCAGTTTCCATCTGTAGAACTGATTCAACAGGGAAACAGTACAACTCCTTTTCTTTTGATTTTATTGCCAGAGAAAAAGAAAAGAAACATAGTACACACACACACACACACACACACACACACACACACACACTTTCATCACTAGCTACGTCTTACTGGAATGTTTTCCGAGATGCTTTAAATGTAAATATATACAAATGAGAGAGCTGTTATAATCTCTCCTACACCTCTCCTGAATGTAGATTAATAAAAGGTATATCTGTTCTTTTGACAGTTAAAACTTTTGTATAAAAAATAACTGAAATATGAGAAAATAAAAAATCATCAAAAATGAAGCATATAACAGAATGCAATTTAATACATTCAGTCATTAAACCTTGATACTCTAAATAAAAAACACCATTGTTTAATATATGTTTTTAAATGATGTTCTGTTATTATCTGCCAATGAACAGAAATGTTTCTATTGCATTAATTCCATTGTCCACATTTTATTTTTTAAAATAAATGTATGTTTACCAACTTTTTTTCTGAATAATTGCCTTCCTTGGTCTACTATTTCAATTTCTGCATGCAATGCTATTGTATATTAAAATACATTTTACAGATTGTAATGGACTTCTATTACAAATATTCAATGTTTGTATAGTGGTTATAACCCAGCCTGTAGTATGTGCTTGTTACTCTCCAGGACTAGCATGGCCACCCACTGCTTCACACTGGAGAATTTTTAATATGCTTAATTTGAGTGACTCAGATCAAGAGTGGGAAGTAGTTAGACAAAGGAAACAGCCAGTCCTCAGTTTCTGTGTTCATGCTATAATTTTTGCAGTGCAGACTATGTTCTGTAATGTAGGGTATAGGTTGGCTTTCTTCATAACAGCAGAATGATTTTAAGTCTATGTTAGACAATATGTGCACAAGACAGAAATCTCAAGAGCCACACTAGGCACATAGGAAGCCATTTCACACCTAAGGGACTATTTGTCCATCTTGTTATATATATTGATTGGCAGGGGATCTCCAAGGGTTTCAGGAGTTTTTTGTGTTTTTGGTTTTTTTCCCCAACTTTACTGGAGATTCCAGAGAAATTGGGGGATTTCTGCAACCAAGAAATATACTGAAGTATATTTGAATCTTAATTCCAGTGACTGACAGCAGTGCTTCAGGATTCTGGTGAAATCTTTGTCTCTTGTAGTTCATGCAGTTCTCATGTAGCTCACTGATTGATCTGAGGACACTACCTCTCTCTGTTAACTCAGTTATTTTCAGAGGGAGTAGGAAAACCATCCCCATGTATACCTCCTGAACCTTCAGGAGGAAACTTTGGATATACTGTACAGTATATAGAACCAGTCCCTAAGTGAACAATGTTTACCATGCCCTTCCCATACCATAATCAAAGTTAGTAAGGCATGCCTGTGACCAACAGATGGCAGCATTTGAATAGATTTTGCTCACTTCCCTTTTTCTTTTCTAGTTTTCTTTCTTTTCATTTTAGTGGGTAGCATGCAGACTTTCTACAGAATCATTATTCTGAAATCATGAAAAGTAAATTTTCTGCATGTAATGCATAGGAAAAGGCTCTTCCATTTCTCAGTGAAAAGTATATCCTGCCTGATCTTGTACATAATTGAAATATTCTTACATTTACCCTAGTTCATTTCTAAGTAACTGGACATAGTCTTTCGGATATACCAGGGGATTAAATCTCAACAAATCAATAGATGGTTTCTTATTAAGCCAGAAGATATTTTCATTTGGTTTTAACTTAGCATGTTGTGTGAACTCATCCATTATGGTTTTTATATCATAGTTAATGATTTAATTTGATGGACATATCTGGATGCCAACTGGGGCTTATTTAACAAATACCATTAATGTAAAATCCAAAGCCAAGTTCAGATAGATACCTGCACTTCACAAATACTTTGCCTTTCAGACCAGCTTAGCCATGTCACTGGGGAGGAGCCAAGATGGCACAGGAGAAGCAGCACTTCACCTAAGCGCCTCATGGTCTTCCAGACTATTAGGACAATAGTTAGAATTCAGATCTTTTAACTCATTTTTTAACCTACTCCTCTTACCCTCATCTTGCAATTATATTGTTTGATGCTTTAGTTTTTAAAGTTTTATGAGTTTTGTTGAGTTTTATTAAGTATCAGAAATGAGGGACCAGTAACACCAACATGCCTGGCAGGCATAAGAATAGCCTTGTCAGTGTATTAATTTATTTAAAATGCTGTTATTTGCTTTTCCATATAAAAGGTGTTTAAAGAAGCAATGAGATAATGATATTTCAGGAAATACAGCCTGAAAGAAGTATGCAAAGGGTCCAAATGATCTGTTTCCCACAGAGCTCAGCTTCTCAAGAACCTTCCCGCAGAAGGGGAGGTTGGAGAATGGTCAATAGTTGTCCAAAATTGCCAGGATGAATGATGACTTCTTGAGGAGCAAGTGTACCACTGCCTCCTTTAAGGCAGATGACACTATCTGCTCTCCTAAGGATATAATAACTATTGTCCTGACCCAACCTCCTGTTACCCTCTAGAAGCTTCACCAACCAAAAAGATCAGGGATCCAGGCTTCTGGTGGCAGGACTGATGTTGCAGAGAATGCTGTTCACTTCCTCAGGACCAAGAGGTTCTGACCCCCTCCAGATTACCACACAAGATTATCTTGAAGATCTCTATAGGACTTGTCCAGCTGCATCCGACTCCAAATGAACCTGAATAATTTTATTCTCCAGCTACCAAGCAATTCCTTACAGAGAGTTTTATGCATATAGTTTTCAATCTAATTAGTACTACCTCTTAAACTGCTTCCATTTACATACAGTTCTCATATATGGATACACTGTCTGCATGTATAGCCATAAGGATTAAGCCACTTTAGACACAACCCAAAATCTTAGGCAAGAAACACAAGAAAACCAGGACCACTACTTAGCAATGCACTCTAAGATCCTTGATAAATTTCAACATTGGGATCCAGGTTTATGAGTCTTTATGCTGTGGGAACAATGTAGGAAAATGCCATTTTTTAGGAAACAAAAGGAAAAATCCACAGCCATTAGTAAGTGTCAAACATTATATTTGCTTGATGTTGACTTAGAAACAAAACATTCATTTGCCACCAAAAGCAGAATTCTCCAGTTGTCTCAATGGTTTGACAATTTACTTAATTCCCTCCTCCCTCCCTCCCTCCCTTCCTTCCTTAATTCATAATTTCCATGTACTTTGCTTGAAGTATTGAATAAATAGGACATGATGCAGTAAATTAAGCAGCTCTGAGAATTCTGCATTCCTTAGTCAAGGAGCCCACACAACCAAATCTCTTTTTCT